AAAACAAAACAAATGGCTGGACCGACCAATTGATCATTCCTTGGAGGAAATCCGAAGAACTTATACAAGTTCTCTCCTGTTGGTGGCTTATCACTTCTTTCACCTGTTATCTTCACCAGGATTGAGATAGATCCTCGGAGCTTCTGTTTCCATCGTTGAGCCACGCGTAGGCGGCGGCAATATGGTCCGAATCGGTTGTCTATACATATGAGGCGATACACTGATGTAATTGAAAAATGCCGACTTCCTCAGAAGGCTGTACCGGGCGGGAAGAGGGGGGAAGGGGGGGGGACCCGTCTTGATGGAGAGCCCAATGCATTCAAGACACGACGAGAGCGGCGTTCACGATCGTGCATGCGATTGTGCTGTCAAACTGTTAGACTATCTGGCTATTAGACTACTAGGCTATCATGAAAAGAATACGTATCGTGGCTGAATAGGCTGATAGACTATTAGGCTTTTAGGCATGGGGCGAGTGAGATTGCATACGTATCGGGTTGTTTTTTTTTGTTGTGTATTGCCTACTTACCGTTTCAAGCGATTGTTCTACGAGCCTATACGCCCAATCGGTAAATATGCTTCTCTTTGAATACTCATGCGACCACAAACTATGAATGTTGCCTTAGGAAAATTAATATTCATTTAGCTCAGAACAAATCGTTCAGAAAAGTGATACTAACTAAAAAGGTGAAAGGCGGTGTTAACGATTAGAAGGCAGCTCATTAGAAGTAGGGTAGAGGTGGTCAGTGGTGTCGAGTTGAAGAAAAACCAGAAAAAAATGAGAACCAGTTGAGAACCCGAAAAAAACGGAACCTTTCCTTGCCCGTTGATTTCCGCACTGATGCGACTCTCATCGGTGCTGCCCTCTTCAACGCTAACGCTCTCTCTGCTAAACGGCTAGAGACCTGCGGCGAGTGGTTAGCCAGTCGGTGGGCGTACCGCGCCGATAGCGCCGCGGGAAGGGCCATGCTGGATCGCCGGGGCATATCTCTTTCGGGGAATTGCGTGCACCCACCCTTGGATTGTCCGACTGTCTTTTCACTAGGTAAGTCCCTAAGGATTAGTCCCATGACTGTAAGTGGTTCACTCACTTGAATGTCCCCCTTAAAGTGACATGAGCGCCTAAAAGTGCTCTTGTGATTCATCGAATATGTGTTGAACTTCCCGATAAACATGCTATCCTCAGGGCCCTAGCGTACTAAGGTGTTAGCTTGAGCTGACTGCTTTAATGTCCTCCATTTAGTGATCCTTCGCAACTTCTTGCCGATGGAACTGTCATGAGTTCTCCACAACACACCGTAGAAGTTGAGTCGCATCCGACAAGGACTTCGAAACGAATGGACAGCTTATTAGAACTCAGCAACAAGCGTATGAAATTGGAGGGTGAAGAGGAGGTACGCCAATGCTTATCCTCCATTATTCTAGATCTTTAAGGCTCTTTGGGTGTGAAATGTGCATAGCATACACTTTTTTCTTAAGAACCGAACTTTCAGTTGGGAGCATATGTCGTCGTGGGTGAAGAAGAGGTGCTCGACGAGGTTGTAGAAGGAGCTGAAGCTGAGCAGGTTACTGTCTTTATTTTCTAAGTTTTGTTGTTAGGTTTACTCTCCTTTCTGCAGCTAGTTGAAGAAGCGGTTCTGAGTGGTGCTCTTGGCGGTATCGATGAAGGTGTATCACTTCTTGACACCAATTCTGATGGAGGAACTCGTGACGTGGAAATGACAGAAAGCAGACGGAAAGCGAGATTAAAACGAATGATGCAGGTAATCGTGATTTCCTCTCGAACCAGCGTAGTTGAACTGTTTATTTATTTTTACTACTGTTCAAAATAGGCAGCAAGTATAAAAGTTCTACTGATATTGTGATCGGTATAGATTTTGGGGCGGAAGTGGTGTAGTGGCAAGTGGCACGCTTACCACGCGAGCGGTCCGGGGATCAAATCCTGGGTCGTGAGTCGCCCGGGCCAACCAAGCCTTCCATCCCTCCGGGGTCGGTTAATTGGTACCAGACTTGTCTGGGAGGATAAAAACACTGACTTGTACATCGGCTGGCCCCCGCAAGTCATTGTATAGGCCACATCGCATTCAAACGCCACTACGAATGTACAAATGGAAGTAGAATGCGTGCCGCATCCCAAAAAGGGATTGATCAACGGCAAATGCTTTATCCTTTAATCTCCAATTTTGCAGCAGAAGGTGGATTTGATGGCAGACGATGAGACGATGGAACTTATGGAGACCGGCCTAACCCAGGTTGTGGAGCAACTGAAAGATCCAAATTTAGTTTTACATGTGAGTTCGTGGGATGTATATCACCGTTTCAGTAGGACGAACACACAAAAGAACTCGAAGGCTTATCTCCAGTTTAATCGTATCCCGAAGAAATGCCCTATTAAGGGACATTCGATGTTCACTGTGGCTTAAGTTCAGCAGTTAGAATTTTTTTTCAACGCAATTCATTTCAGCCACGCCGATCTGCTCGTCTTCCAAAGCCGTTGCCTCAAGACTCTTCATGAAATCCGGGCCCATTGCTCTGATCTCTTTATGTATTTATTTTGTTACAAGCTTGTATCGTTTTGATTCAGGATACGGATTATGTAATATGTGCTACATTCATGTTCATAATAGTTCTTATCATAAAAAAGGTTTTATCGCGTTTCTCCCTCACAGAACGTTTTAGGCATGCTGCCGTATCCTGAACCTTAATGTTCCTCAAAACACGCTCTTATCGACCTGATTAATTGCAATGCAGTTCCATCCTTTAAATCAGAATGTCAGTAGAAACAGTCCCCCATCTGATCACAGATCTTCGTGCTTGCTGTTGTGCGCATTGAATAGTCCTTGAGGGCAGTTTGAGCCCGGCTGTAGAATGATGACGGGTCTGCACATGAGGGCGACACTGACAAGGTTTACGAGTGCACCAGGTAAGCGTCTAAAGAGTGCTTTTAAACTCGTTATGGTGAATCCTAGTCACTTTTTTCAGCACAAATTTTGATGGAATGATAGCCTCTATGATGCCTGAAGATTCTTGGGTTTGCAAGTGGCAGGTATTTTGGTTTTCTGTAGCATTAGGATGAGATCAATTAGCGAGTTCCTAAAACACTTCACTTTTCAGAAAATCAACCGCAAATGTAAAGGAATTTATGCAATTTCTGTGTCCGGATCTCTTCCTGCATCTGTGATTTCCGAATTGAAAACAGTTGGAATACGGTACAAACCGGGAATGCGGGACACCGCAACTAAATAAACATGCTTTGTACAAATGTCCTCATTTTTCACATGTCAGTTTTTATGAGATTGCCTTCTTTTTTCATATTCTTATGCTGGTTCGGGTTTCTTGAAGCTGTGCTGTGCTGTTAAGCGGAAAATGTGGGTGCGTATCCTTAGGTCGTGGTGGACGGTTTTCTCCTACGTTCACTTGAGGCACGATGCCGGCGGTACCTTCGCACAGCCATTGACATAAGTGATTTTTCAGGATCAAGCGTGATGTTGCGAAGGGTTCTGTGCGATATTACACCCCCTCCTTACCCTTCTCAGCATACCGCCTCCATCTTTTTAATTCTCAATCCCAAGAGTTTTGTCCAACGGTCCGAGTGGGAAGTGGAGGATGGGGGGCAGAAGGTGAAATTCCTAGTGAAAATTTTGAAAAAAAACTGCTTAACAACATTTTAGTCTGCTGTCAATCTTATACCCTTAGTAGGACCTTTTCATGTAGATTTTGCGCCACATGCTTGATCCGAGTCTGTTGCTGCGCGCGGTAGTATGCTGCCTGCTTTGACTTAATTGACACAGCACGCTGGAATAATACTGAAGTTTTTCAGCAGCGCGGATGTTTTTGAGTCGACATATTTTTTTTCGTTCACGAGACTAATATAAATACGTAAGATCACTGGAATATGGTTCTTCTTTTATGTGTGTGCTACGGATATTACACCAAAAGCCACGTTTGGTACGTTGCCCACGTCTGAATTCGAGAGATCACACTGAATTCACGATTTGGAACTTCTTTTTTGGGAGTCTTTAGACATTGAGACGGTAGCCTTTAAGGTCCATTTCAGAATGGGTGTTGAGTATGAACAGTTATGCAAACAGTGAAAAGTGGGAGAACGATTGACGAAAGCAAAGAGGCCAAGCTCGTTCAATAATCTTGGGCTACCCTGCTATTACCTTTGAGAAAATATTGCTACGCGCCACATTTGACCCATCAGGAAGTAGAGCTCCTATGTTTCAGTAGGAGTTGCGGAACACTCATTCACTCACAAGAATGTTAGGTTGTGAACAAAAATCTTGCCCCAGGCGGGGACTAGAACCCGTACCTCTCGCTTTCCGTCAGCTTTCCATGTATTACTTACCATAGCTTTTCCCCGTACTCACACTCATTCACATCATTTTCAGAGGAAATGTGCCCCCTTCTGCGCTGTATCTTGAGTGTGGAACCTAGGCAACATAATTAATTTTGGTGAAAATGTAGTCGGGGGGGGGGTGGCCACCCTCCTTAATCGAAGTGAGATGGCTATAAAGAGCATCAGTGCCCCCCCTCCCCGAATCTACATTTTCACATTCTTTTTGACAGAAATAAATAAGGCACTCGCCAACATTAGTTTTGGTTTGCTCTCCACTCGATTAAGAAAATAGAGATGCGAACGTGTTGTGAAGAAAAACTCGATTAACGACACTGAAATCACTAAGAAATTGAAGCCTCCACTGTGCGATGTGAAGAGGCATTATGCACCGGCGAGTCGAAAGAGATAGAGAGTATGGCGCCGAGCAAGACGCAGACACCCAATGCATATTTTTGTGAAGATGCCATTGATTTTCAAGAACGCTGCCGGTCTGTGAACAAACCTTCGCCTCAGGCAGGCTCGATGCCCGACCTCTCAGCTTAGGCGGACAATTAGTTAGCGCTGAAGGTACGAACTGTGACCAAAACGCTCCTGTAGCTGTGGCTCCCTTGCAATTTCAAGCCCTTCAAAAGACCCTTTTTCAAAATTTTCCGACACCTCTGACGATTTGATTCACACGGCTTATCCCTAGGCTGCGTTGTTCCTGAAGTATGAAAAACGTATATATATCCACTGCCCATGTTATGGGCGTGTGGGTGACACAAAAGTACTCACCATCAGTTCCGGTTTAAATGAAAGGGTGAGGAACTCTTTTTTATTGCCCCCCCCCCTTCTGTGTAGTATCAGTCACTTCAGTTACTTGCAACTTGACAAAAAAACTCCACTGAAGCGATTTATATTTATTAAGGGAAAACAGTAGTCAATTGGCAGTTAAATCGAGGAACCCCCACCATCATACGATAAATCTGATGTGGGTTTCCTTATGTGAATAGATGAAAAGAGTTAGAAGATAAGCAGATTTCTGTGTGGAAAGCACCGATTGTGGCAATGCAAATAATCCGTTAGCCATTCCATTCTCTTTTCGATTAAGCTATTAAAAAATATTAGAAAATTTTCGACCAGAACGTAATAATATTTGAAAACGACGATAATGTGAAAAACAATTATGCTTGGCACTTGCTAGAGTATTTGGAACATAAGGAATCGTCATTGTCGCCATTGAAGTCGATTACGTATATTTACAATATCTCTCTCTGTAACTTGGCTCGTTATGACATTTTTTCCAAAATTGGAATTATTTGATCGAAATTGGGTCGTCGACCGGGATCCTCGTTTAGGCAGATGTTCATCAATCGGCCCATGTTTCTCGCAATACCCGGCGGGATTTGTACTCGCAGACCTTCGAGGGCAATCTGAAAATAATCCTAAATCATCTCGGAATTATTTGTCTGGTTTAACTCTGGACTTGTGAAAAAAACAAAGCATTTGGCGTGAAGGTGCGCCACGCATTCTTCTTCCATTCAAAATGGTAATGGCATTTCGAATGTGAGTGGGCTTATACAATTGCTGGTGGGGAAAGGTGGTGTAGAAATCAGTGATTTTGTCCTCCTAGACCAGTCTGGTACTAACCTGGCGCTAGGATAGAAAGTTCGATTGGTCTGGACGGCGCGCGATCCTGGATTTGATCTCCGGACCGTACGCATGCTAAGCAGCGCCACTTGCCACTACCACATATCGACCTCCGCCCAAGATTCTGGATTTATTCGTGTATGAATTCCTGCCGATTGCTTACTGTCGAGAGGCATCACTTAGATATGTGGCATCATATTTGACGTGCAATTAATGCTCCCCGATGCTGAACTCAGGCATTTATTTGGACGTGCAGTTAAAAGCTCCCCCGATGGCTGAACAGGAGGCCATAACCGAGACGAAGATGGACCGCAGTGTGTTAAAAAAAAAGATAAGAAATTATGAGAAACACCGGAACACGAGCCCTTATCCGCGCTTCAGAGAGTCTACCGTAGAGAGTTAGACAGCAGGATAAGAGATAATTGGCGCTGGAAGGGGTAAACCTGAGACTCCGAGATGAGAGAGAAGAGCATGACAAATCATCGATGCAACCGATGGGGTACTCCAACGGTGGCCGGGCAGAGACCCAGAATCATGCAAGATCCAAGACCTGAGCCCTAGCGTCTCAGTGACGCGCTTCTGGGCGCAAAACTCGCACCACCTCTACAGTTACGGATTCGAACGATTTTGCATCTGAGGGATTTTCAATTAATGAGCGCGGGTTACTTTGTAATCTCGGGATTTAGCAACTGTAGGTGTTGTGCACACAAATAAGGAAGGACCGTAAGCAGTCATTTAGCCATCTGACCACTAGGATGTAGAATGCAATCACTGAGGCGTGGGATTGATATGAGCAGAATTGGGCTTGTAATAAAAGGGGGAAAAATAATCTTTTATATTTGTTGCCGAGTCATTCAACGCACCTTCATGCCGCATTCCATGGGTGAAAGATCGGCAAATGGAACTTCTCGGGTGTTGAGTTCCCACAGAAGAATCCCGAAACTCCACATGTCAGCGGCTCGGACGTTTATCGTCAGATCCCTTTGAAGAGCATGAAAAAGGATATCAGATCAGACTCCAGGCGCAGTCAATTCAAAAAAAAAGATAAACCTACCTCAGGACTCATCCAAGCTGGTGAATATATTCGTCCTACTTCTTGGAATGAGAATTTCGTGTCGGCCATCGAGAGTTTGGCTGTCAGTTCTTCGTCCACAACGACATGCTTCGATGACAAATAAAATCTGAAATCGTTGGTTAGGGACACGTTAGGAAAAAAAGTTACCATTTTGACTTGTTTTTATTGGATAACTGCTGTTTTACGCCGCAGTTCGCGTTGCGAAAGTTATCACAAGAATGCTGAGTTGTGGGCAAAACTTTCGCCCCAGCCGGGATTCGTACCCGGATCTCTTGCTTTCCGGGCACATTGTGTAACTGGTTAACACATTGTCCGCGAAAGCAAGGATCCGGGTAACGAACATTATCGGCTGCTGGGGCGAAAATTTGCCACAACGGCGCATTTCTTGTTGATAAGTATCTTCAATTTATGTTATTAGTTTTTTGATGATAATACACGACTTTGAGAGATATCGAGGCCTACCGAACCCCAACACTTTTTTGAAGGATCGTGAGTTGATTGAAGGCAAATCCTGGGATTAGCCGACTAGTAGGAGGGATACCACGAGGGAAATTGTAAGGTCCGTACCTACCTAGATCACTCCAGCTTCGTCGCAAAAATTGCGCGGTTAGGGCGCTAATCCTTACGGGCCTGCAACCATCGACCCCGTTCCAACGCTTCCCACCCACCGCGAGAGATGGTGAGATCAGCGTGCATTGATGTAGAGATCAGCGTGCTCTCTCAAACGACGTGCTCTCTCGCGTGTTTTGACCTCTTGATCGCCCTGCCTCGCCATCGTACCACATCCGACCTTACTTGAAGGTTAAGGCCTTAATTTCAGCGTCCCCAAAGATTTCTCTTGCTTTCCCCTCCTGCTTGCAGGTCGTTCCGCAGCTAAGCCATCAGCACGAAGCGCTCTTAGCAGCAGTTTTATCCCGGGGTTTGCCTTCAAAGGATGGGAGTACTGTCCTGAACACCAGAGGATCTATCTGCGCTACTTTAACATCCTAACTTTCCGGGAATGGGTAGGTGGCTTTGAGAAATAGTGGTATTGAATAAGTTCATCAGATATTTGATCATCCAAGCCTAGACCAAGCCAATAAAATCAATAGTGTAGTAAATTCAGACAGATCTGGCATGAGGAATCCTAGTAGCGGAACCTCAGCACATGAAGCTGCTTCACAACTGTTCTAATAAATGATACTCGAAAGGGCGATCGCAATATAGAGCCACATACGCATAACCCGGAAATGCTGACAAGGCAATTTGAAGTCCTGCTTTCCATATGATATTGTATGTATAAAGGTGAAACTCCAGTTCGGGGGGGCCACTCCATTTTTTCTCCAATACTCAAGATAAGGATTAGAGGGCTCACGACACGTAATCGACTCATTTAAAGTAGACTTCTGATAAATATTGGTGTAATGGGTGAGAAACCCTGAAACGTTTTCACATTTCCGCCTGCCATGACCCAAGGGAACGGTCCTGGACCAGGAGAAAGGACACCTCCGCAAAGGGCTAAGGGTGCAGGAGCTCCAGGGTGGATCACCTGTGCAGAAAAGTGGATGGGATGTGGGCAGGTAGTGTGGAATGTAGGACATCCACCGGTCCTTATCAAAAGTACGCTCGAAATGAGTCGTTCACTTATTATTATCCGTAGTGTTCGATAGCCCAAAGAACTGCTCTCTAGTACTACGGATAAGATAGCAATGGAGTGCCCCCCCCCCCCCCCCGAACTGGAGTTTCACCGTAGAACAGCTCTGAAGTAGTCAACTGATTGCTCCGTTACCTCAAAATGGCAGGATCGAGACTGTGCAAATACGACATTCCTCGAGCGATATCGACTGCAAAGCGAACTTGCTTGACTATGGTCAATGACGACAGCTGAAACTTTGTATTGGTTTCTCTTGAGTTTTACCGTAATCACCTGATACGGTACTCACAGCTCTGTTCGTGTAGCACATTATAGAGGCTTCCGAATGGCATAAATTGACTAATGACGACAAGGTTCGGAGGTTGATTGGCGGCTGCTAGCACTGGGCAGATGTTGGCATGAGCAAAAATCCTAAACAGCATCGAATTCGAACCGAAAACATCACTATGGCTTGAACCAAGCAGCTGGCTCCAATACTTTTATGATACGCCATGCGTACGATCCTTTATTTGGAATCGTAGGAACAGTTCAGTGAGGAGTTGCGGTCTCTTCTAAGAAAAGGGATTGAAATGAAGAAAAATGCGCCTATCGAATGGCTCAATAGGAACTGGGGTAAGGGTAAGGGGATGGATTCTTTGATCTTTCACAGAAGTTCTCGGAGGTTTATTGAAGATAGCAGTAGGAAAGGAAAGAATTTTCAACCAGCCAAAATTCATTTTTGGACCTATAAAGGACAGTAACTCTTCCCAGTCAGCCAGCCACCTCTGCAACCTGGAGCTAATTCAAAAAATAAAGCCTACTGGAAGCCGGAGGCGAATGGAAATTTGGAAACCCCTCACAAAATTGCTCTAGCGTTTGACCCTTCTTCATGAAACTCAGGAATCCCAAATAATTACTAACCTGAGCGCTGGGAACTCGGTCTGAAAGTCACGAGAAATCCGCGGTGTCACTTCCTGTACGGCTAGGATACGGGCCACGATGTCGTTACCTTGCCACTTTCCACGCCAAAGTTCACCCGAATGAGATTCGGCCACCTGAAAAGGGAGGCTGGTCTGCAAATCCTTCGATCCGGAAAGTAACCGCGTACCTTGGTGATCAGATTTAATGATGAGACATCCACTCCGGTGTACCTGGACAGAGTCGCATCTCTGGTACGAGATTTTGTGCCTTTCCACGTCTGATCTTTGAACGGTATCCGCTCGTTCGGATTTTGGCCATTTTCCATTGCAATCTCTGGAAACACCACGCTTTATTGTGATATCGGTGCAAAATAAATAATGTTGAGGTTTTGGAGGTTATTTAATGGATTTTGGAATGCGCCATAGACTTCACACTGATTCAGGGTAATCTGATGTGTTGGTAAGCATATTACGATACACAAAGGTTTGCAGAGTCTAACCAGCATTCAGGTCAGAGCCCTATACTCTTACTATTTGATTCATAAGATTTAAAGTATTTAAAGCCCCCAAGGGTCTGACATTACAACGGTCCGGAAAGCAACAAAAAGAGCCTTGGCGACAAATAGCAATGAAGAAATGTGCATCCAAATGAACCAGCGATCTAAAGCGGTCTTCCAGTGCATGGCTCAGCCCAAAGAAAGCTATCGAACAAACCAAACAAATCAAGTTGGCATTTTTTCTCGCTACTTTTCAATCTCACTCACCAGCGATTGCTTGCCGTGATGGTCCCTGGCAAACATCCATTGGCGTTTGACCACGTTTATTGCAAGCTCCGATCTGTGCTCCAGAAATGATCAAGTCCTAAACAATAGGGAAATAAGCAAAAATTGGATATTTCCTAGAAAAAAGAAATCCGCTTATAATTAAAAAAAAGTTCACTGAAATCTACAGTAGCTGTCAGAGTGTGCGCCGAAACGATTTTCAGTGCAGTATTTATTCTTGCTACAGCTAAAGCCTCACATGGATTGAATATACTATGTTCTAGTTTTAATTGGATAACTGCTGTTTTACGCCGCAGTTCGCGTTGCGAAAGTTAGATCCGGTACGAAAAGCATCGCTGGGGCGAAAAAGTTTTGGCCCACAACTTCATGCATAAATAATGTTTTCTAGTGTTTTTTATCCCAGTCATAAAGATCAGATATTCAAAAGAAAAAATTTCAAGGTCGCCATTGATTTTTTTTTCTGGCAAAAAATAAGAGAAGCACGAAAAACCTTTTCGGCGAACACTTGACCGCTACTGCAAGCCCTTTTTGCAGATCTTGAAGGTACAGTAGTAGTATATCCTTCAAAAATAACGGTCTCTGACTAGAGGGAGCAAAGAATGGGAAAATAAAGTAGACAGGAAAAAGCCAGGTTATTTTCTTGACACAAAAGTATTTGAGAAGCTAGTGTAATCTTACCTCTGCAATTTGTTCGAAACCCCAGTAACAGGCATAGTGTAAAGGAGTCATCCCATGCTCGTTGGTCGCATGAACGTCAGCTTTACGAGCCAATAGCTTCTGAAATGAAAAAAAAAGACCTGAGTTCATTTCTATTAAACAGCTGAGATAAAACAAAACCATTCATTTACTTAACAAGTGACAAAGCTGTATGTTCCACATTTAAATTCGGCCCTCCTTTTTTTTCTACTAACGCGGTAATTCCTCAGAACTGGCTATCCACACATCTTGCCTTTTCAACCTCAAAATCCCTTTTTTTTAATACAGGGCGCTTTACTTTGTGAAATTTTATGGACTTGTTGAACAATTCGTCTTTTACAACACTTCACACGCCGGAAAAAATGCAGCTATACCAACATTATTTCGAATTTAAAGGAAGTGGTCACGATAATTTCATGGGAACGATAAGGGAAAGCTATGTATTGGAGTGGATAGAGGTCCTGCCCAATGTTACAACACGTGAAGTTTCAGTGGCAGTGGCGCCTTATCAACGGAGTGATAAGGCGCCGAAATCCACTTCCGTTCAGCAAAAACCAAGACTTATCGATGTGGAAAGGGGTGCGATAAGAGCGTGCTAGATATGATACCGTTATCGTTATCGTCCCGTTTTCATTCTGGAGTGCACCTCTTATCTCATCGTATCATATCTTCCATGGGCTTACACTCGTCCAACAATTACTGCCTCACACCTTATCGATTGATAACGCGAGGGTAGCAAATCCAGCGTGGAAGCCAGCGTGACCGCTTCCTTTAAGAAAGTCGGAATTAGTTGACCAAACCAACCCTTTCGGTCATGCCTGTACTTGGTTACGCACCCGTAGAGATGTTCCCACACTCAAAACCCGAAACGGCGCAGTAATAAGGCCCCAGGGCATGTACTATGCGCTATCGCCGCCTGGCCCCGCTACGACCGCCCACCTTGGGATGTGGTGCGTGGCTGGCATAACGTGTGAAATCAGCTAGGTTGATTGCCGTATCAACCGATAGAACGACTGACATCTCCAGAAAACTTGTTTGTACGTGCCTCTTTCCCCAAGCCAGCCTCCTTCACTGCTAGTGGGAAAGAGGGTTTTGTTAACGGCCTTGTCGACGGTTTTTCTCAGTTTTTTCTCCACTGTCGTTCCACTTCGCATCTCTATACTCAGTTTCAATCGCCATAATACCCCCTTATTGAGCCCGAAGCATAATTCGATTTTGCCTTCAAATACGAAGTTATACATAAACCCTTGACCAACCATTTGAGGATGCGCCGCGCACCCACATCTGTTCAAAATCGCAGATGCATTGGTGAATGATACGGGCTATACCATAAGATCTGAAGACCAGACGATAGAAAGGAGTATAGTAATCCTACTAAACCAGCTGTCTGTTACCAGCTAAGTTAAGGGTTCACGGTTAGGTCGGCTGGGCAAACGAGATGAGCCGAGGTCCGAGGTTTGACCCTTGTACTGAACTTGTAGTAAGCGGCGATCTCTCTTGCACATTATCATAATCTTGTTATCTGTTTCTTGTTAGGTGATCTTTCCTCAAAATAATCTTGGACTGTAAATTTAGCACTTGATCCTTGAGAGCTCTGAGAGGCTACCTTCTGACCGTGGGAAATAAGCTAAACCCAACAGCTGCACGAAATGCATTTTCCTCTAAGGAACGCTATATCTTGTAGCAGTTTCTTATAGGAATATAGATCCGCAAAAATCCAGGCATATTTGAATTTCAAGTAATTTCCATAACAGATCCCCTGCCGTGCGTTGTCCGGGCCAACCAAGCCTTCCATCCCTCCGGGGTCGGTTAATTGGTACCAGACTTGTCTGGGAGGATAAAAACACTGACTTGTACATCGGCTGGCCCCCGCAAGTCATTGTATAGGCCACATCGCATTCAAATGCCACTACGAATGTGAAATGGAAGTGCGAATGCGTGGCGCATACCAAAACGGGGTTGATCAACGCCGAATGCCTTAGGTATTGGCTTGGGTAAACACGCTGTCTTCAGGCCAGCTGTGAAAGATAGATGTGATGTTTTTGACGATATTACAACAATCAACAACACCACGATCAATTAGGTTCACAGATATCGCTCTCGAAAACCTACCAGAAGAGTGTTTGATCGTGGAATGACGAATTTTACAGAATGAGTTCGAGGACTGGCCACGAATAGCACACTTTCCCCAACACCAAGGCAATTATGGCTGCGCCCCCGATATTTCGAATTCCCAAACAGCACCGCTCCAGGTGATGCCAGAAAATAATAAATAACATCAAATAATATCAAATAAATAAAATATCTTTGTTCACAGCGCTATTGCACGAGTAAAAAAATCCGAAGTATGGGGGTAAATCTCAGGTCGGCATAGGAGGAAGCTCCGCAGATAAGTTAAGATTCCTTGGCGCTATCGCAATACGCGGGGGCATTGTGGTGGCAGTGCATTTAGAATCGCGTAAAGCATCGCCTTCTTGTTGTGTCGGGGCTAAGCCTTAGGCGGGGCATTAGAGGGTGCCATGAGCAATTTCCATTTTTCAAAAGTTCCTGCCCCTTTCTAGGCTTGTCGTAAGCCCAAGAAGATCCCCCGTATCTTGCGATAACAACTGTTCCTTTTTTGGTCGAAATTCATATGAAAGAAATGGCATGTGAGAACTTCACTAACCACAACAATCGGTGACTATGAAACAATGCCAGCTCTTTGCGCCAATCGAAGCAACGAAAAACGCGTGATCATACTCTGAAGGGGAAATCTTATTCATTATAAAGATGGCTTCAAGTTAAGAGACATTCGACCCAGTTTCAGATTGAGTAAGTGGGTTTCTAAGGAAATTTCATTAGAAGTGTTACTGCAGTATTATTTGAGTGAAATTAGATAAACAGAATATTTTCATATACAAGTAGTGTAACTATTCATTCACAAAGACTATCGAAATTAAAATGTTTTAACAATTTAAGTTTGGCAGTATTTCTCCATTTTTCAGGAATTTCACCACAGATCCACCACCTAACAGATTTCTACTAAAGGCCATACATTGCTTGAATTACTCATGGCTTATTCACTCAAAACTGGAATGGGAAAAGCGAAGAGGACCGCCACTAAGGATAAAAAGTTAGGCGGACCATGAAAACCATTCGGATCAGGAGTCTCCTTTTCCTAAGTGGTCAACCGTGAGACGACAAAGAAACAAAGCGGCGAGGGGAGGGAATATGAGAGAGATCACGTCATGCAAGAAAGCGCAGACATCACGCACGCTGCGAATGAGTATAAAAGGAAGCGGCCGCAGCAACCAAGGCATGGTAATAACAGCCCTGCCGGGCAGCTATTCCGTGAGTTACTAGGTGTCATGTCCAGTCGTTCAAAAAAGAACCAGTTTGAGAGAATAGCTCACGTAAATGGTTTTTGCTGAATAATTCACTGAAAGGAGATGAAAAGGAGAAGCAGCTACCGTAACATTATTGAAACGGATAAGTATCATTCTATTAACCTGATGAACAGCGAACATAGACGGCAAGGTGAAGGAACACTGCGGAGGTTGCTATCAAATGTTGATTCTTCTCTTACAGAGAAAAAGTCTGAGTTAAAACCAATATTTCGGTTTAACATAGTTTGAAGCATCGGTATTATCAACGTAAGCACAAATATATCACATTACACGCTGCTTCCCGCAACCGATCCTGCCGTAATTGCGAACTTAGTATAAATCCTGATATCCGATAGCACCAAGACCATTAAAAAATACATACGACGTACGACCTTTTTTGAGGCAATGCCAATGTGCCACAGGTCTGAAATTACGACAGGCATGCAAAGCGGGAAAAAGTATAGGAAATTTCACAATGCTCATGAAGGGTTAAAATGAAAAACAGGATTTGCGATGAGTGAGGTATGGCAATTTGCAGCAGGACAACTCAAAGCATTCAGGAGATAGTTACGACTAGAAATAGAACGTCAGTTTAAGAAACATAGACAAGTGACGAAGAAGGGAGAGCATGCAGAGCAAGATAGTTTGGCAAAATTAAAAAGTTAGATGATCATCAGACAATAGAACAAATTTACCAGTTTATTGATAAAAAGCATTCATTTCTGTTATTAATATTATTTTTCTTTAACGAATAAGGTAATGAAACACAAAAAACGAAACAAACTGTTGGGGTTATCTCACCTGAAAAGGAAACGGGAAAACCGAACCGCTTCAGTAAGGACAAAAAGTAGGAATGAGAAAAACCATTCGGATCAGGAGTCCCCTTCTTTATGAGGAAACTATCACGAAAGTTATAATAAGCATTTCCTCTGCCTCTTTCAACAAGAACAATCACCACTTTGCGAGTGTGTTTACTCGCTGAGAGAAGAAACAAAACTAAACAAAATGACTTGCCGGAAAAACCTTTCCCATATTCTCCAAGGATTCCATAAAAGCTGCTCCCTTCAGTTGAGTTAATCAGACTCAACCTTAGTTTCCTTACGATGTAGAAAATTTCTCTGTCAATCCTACGTGTCTATACAGTATCTAAGTGTGTATTAATGTACTATGTCCAAAACCGCTAAAAAAAAACTGAAGAAAAAACGCCTAAACACACGTTCTTCACGATGGGGTCTCATCCGGTAAGAGGGGGCATTGCGGTGCACGGTCTGCTCTAATGCCAATTTGGCTCAAGGAGTCCTTTAAAGTTACGAGCTGCTATCAGCTTTTTTCCTATGTTATTTCTTCAGGTGTTTTGTGTAATGTATGTATTCTTGTACTAGATGACATTATTAGCGTCTACGATAATCTAGAAGGGGGAGAGTCCCAGGGAGAACGAATTGTTCCGACGCGCCGGGTTGTTTTTTTAAGGCTTAGTCTTAAACCTTTACAATGAAAGAATATGTGTTCCATAGTTTTAAATGCTCTGGGTCGCAATGGCCCCCCACCGGATGAGACCGCTCCGATTGTATTTAAGATTAACTCAGATTAAACAGGCTTGCAAAGTAGTTTCCTAGAGATTCCTTTACCTTCTCCAGGCTCACTTATTAAGGTAGTTAAGAGACCCTT